CTTATAATGTTAATTAACGTCAGGTGCGCACCGTATACGCAGCTTTCTCCGTGTTTTGCCATCAAACTTGCAGTTTTTATACGAGAAGCAAAATGTCTATGAGAATAAAGCAATAATTCAATAGTACGAATATTAAACATTCAGAAAATATAACAATAATAAATAATAATAAAATATAACGTAACGATTAACTTCTAGGGAGGGAGAGGGAAAGGTTACGAGGGTATTATTACGAGGGTGCGATATATATCCGGGGAGGGATATATCGTTAATCCGTTACCCTTGGACTCGCAATATTCGTCAGGTATCGATACGTTGATTATACGTTTAGGCAACAACGTGCTCGCGCACAAATCTCTCGCCTCTAATCAAATGGTGAAAAGAATTTTTTCCTGACACGGGAGAGGTAATCATACGCCGAAGCCTATTCCGATCGGGCGAATAGCAGAATCGTGACAGGGGAGGCGTGAGAGGCTGACCGACCTTACGATTACAGAGACGTGTTTAGAGCGCGCCGTGGCCTTAAGGTATCGACATCGTGTTCACGGTTCGCATTTAGCGCTAAATGCGACTGTCGGATTCTCTCAGCTTGATTTCGCCCGGCGAAAAGATTCGATTAAAGCGAATATGGGATGCAAGCACGCCATCGTCATTGTTTTGCTGAATAGCCGAGTGAAAGATTTGCGTCTTGGTTGCAACTCGAGAGATGGAGAGACAGACGATTCGCAAGGGGAGAAAAAAGTCAAATCGAAAGTAATCGATAAGCGCCGGGCATGGAAATGTCAACCGAACCGGATAGGCCAAGGGGGGGCCAGCCTGGAATCCTGTTGTCAGGCCTGTAACAAGACGCCTTGCACCCTTTAAACACGTTCCACTCGCAATTGGCATACCACGTGCACATTCGACCCGAGCGGAGTATTTTCTTCACGTAGAAAGATAAGCATGCACTTTGAGACCGGGAAACAAATTAAATATCAAAGCTATGCATGAGAGATGCTTATCATAATTGAGTAAATTTAATAATTGTTAATAATTTCAAGTTATATATTTAATAATTTAATAATTATTAAGTTATATATTTTCTTTAATTTTATTTTGTCGCGGACAATCAGTGAACATTTTTCTAGATCTATACTTCTTATAACAGAAAAATTACATCGATTTCATGTATACATACGTGCCACGGTTTCTCTCGCAAATCAATTTCGCACGGTTTCCTGATAATTGAGACTTAAAAGTGGCGAACGGAGCGCTCGAAGCGATATTTCTCGCGGGCTCTCGCGAGCATTCGCAAGCAGCATGACACAATCGCGATTCCCGCCGACGTAGTATAAAGCGACGACGACGTTTCGGATCGCCGTTCGCGCCCGTCATAAAATTGCAGCCTGCATATTCTCCCAGTCCTCGCCGCACGAGCGCGAACGCGAGTTTCGCGCGCGTCTTAACAACGTCCAACAACGGCCAGTCAATAGGATATATACGTATAATGAATGAAGCACGGGCGTTTTGTTCGGGCCTCGCGCGAACAAAAACGCTGAATCGCAATCGCCACGATCGGTTCGACACGTAACGTACATACGAGTGTATGTACGAGCGCGCATTCCGCGTTACCGCGCGCTCTTATCGTTTGTACGTTTCGTCTGCATGTATACAGACGCGCGTCTATTTATAGTACTATAGACACAAAGTGTAGAAATAACTGAATGTCGATACGGCGCTATTAATTTTCCCGGCTCTCTCTCTCTCTCTCTCTCTCTCTCTCTCTCTCTCTCTCGTATGCGTTCCGACACGTCCAAGAGAGGATCCTCGTCGTTTCACAAGGATCCTCAGCTCCTTATCTTCTTGATGCATTGACTTGGCCCGCATTAGCATTCGCGGGCTCGCATTTTAACCAACTTTGTGCAATAAATGTCTGGAACAGGTATAACGTGTACGTCGATTTTTTCCGCTGTTCCGCGAGACTTTACGTTTTCTCATCGAGCGAGCGCCGTGGATCTCACTCACTTGACAGGGATATCTCCTGATTGAAACGTGTGATAATAACGAGAATATTAATCGCCACTAATATATCCGCTACAATCACGTATGTCTAATTAATAATAAATAGTTGCCCGGTATAAGTATCGTATAAGTTGCCCAGTCAATTATAACTCGTCATACTCGGCAAATAAGACGGCCGACGCTCGTGCGAGCTTCGCGATTGCGTCGAGATAAATCGCGAAATGGAAATTATATACGCGTGATGGAAAACGCGCGTCGCGTTATCGGGCCACGCGTCTCCAATCGGGTGCCACGACTTAATCGATCGCCCTGGAATGCCGCTACTGTCGCACACCGAGAAGGAGTCTCGATTTATTACCTCGCGAGATCGCACTGTATGGATTTCAGTTAGGGCGTGGAGGAGACGAGGGAAGGAAGGTCTGGCATTCCAGACGGGCGCGCGCGCGCACCTCGACGTCCCTTTCGCTGCGCCCATCGACGTCGAGGATGCAGGATTCCGGCGTGCGACTCGCGTACCAATCGGGTCATTTCTATGTGGAGCGCGTTGTGCCATTTTCTTTTTTTTTTTTTTTTCGATCAGGCATCTCGAACCTTCTTCGGGTCGAGGTTGCAGGGAGAGCTTCGAAACGGTTGTACAATTTTAAGTCACGTTTCTTTCACATTCATTTCATTTACGATAAAATCGTATATCTGTGACATTGAAAAATAACCTCTAAATAAATTTAGCGAGCTTCGAATGAAAAATGCAAAATCTCAATTGAATCATTTATATTCGCATGCCTCTTTCAATCTCACGGATCAGTGTACGTTCTTGCGAAATGCCACGGCAGATTAAAAAAAAAACGGCAAGACAAGAGCGCATGGTTCTCCTTGCTAATGAGCCGCCGTGCGTTGCACGCATCTCGCGCGCATTGACCGTCAGCACGTGCGCGTTTTGCAGGAAAGTTGTCGGGCATATTAACTGGAAAATTATGCGAAAACCACCGTAATATTTACGAGGAGCCGCTTCTCGTCGAGAAAGATGGAACACGGGAAAATATAAAGAGGTCGAGGCATAAACCGGGGCGGCCTGGTCGCCCGTGCGAGGCGGACGAGACGGACCAATTATGCGGCGCGGCGCGAAATCCGCATTACTGCACGCGCATAATGTAAGACGCGCGTATTATGCGCGGTGGTGTACCCGACCCCTGATCAGCAAATAGCGGAATGTTAGCCAAGCTCGTTCACCAACACGGAGGTATCCACGCGCGCGCGTGCGCGCGCGCGAACCGGAAAGCTCGTCGACGCAGCATCGCCATCGTGGCACACAGGTGGCCGTTTAATGTTAAAACACTTTATAATCTTCGTGAGCCCGTGATTTATCGCAATTAACCGCATTCGGTGCGGTTAATCAGCCATTAACCCCAATTACGAAACGCCGCAAATTAATAATAGCCGACGGTCGATTTATTACACGCGCCGATTCGTCTCGATTTAATATCTTGCCGCGCGCGGAGCTATTATTTATATTTATATAAATATTAAATATCTAAATATATATATACATATAATATTATAAGTGTAAATATATAATATAAAAAATATATAAACTGTAGAATATAAAATATAAAAAGATAAAATATAAAACAAATAAAGATATATAATATATTATATAAGTATAAATATATATCATTATACATGTTACGCTGTATTGTTCGCACGTTCGCAGCTGCGTAGACGAAGCGGATAAAAATGGGAAATCCTATAAAGCGGCCGCTCTTCGATCTGTGATGCAACTTTTCGATGTTTACTTTACGCAGGCAGCTTTCCCACGCGGGATAAAGTCACGTAACGCGTTCTTTATCGCGCGAATAAATTTCTTTCGTTTTTCGCGAGAGCATTTTCGCACCGACTGGCGCATCGTAATAACAAGCCGGGTTCCTACGCCGTTGCGCGGATACGCGCGTGCATTAGCATAAGCCCGGTATGCGAGATAGCTGAGCGTAGGCGTATATAGATACGACCGCGCGGGGCATAAAAGGGAGCAATAAGATCGGAAAGAAAACGGCGGAGATGGAAAAAGACCTGGGGACACCGACCGAAAAGGCGTAAAGAAGACGGGAAACGGGGTAGAGAAAGAGAGAAGGAAAGCGCGAGAGGTAAGGAAGCGGGAGTGTGCATACGGGTGCGCATGGGTTACCCGATAAGATATGCGCGAAGCTATTTCTGTAGAACGTACGTTGACGACAGGCACGGATTACGGGAGATAAGCGGATAAGGAGAGTAACGCGTAAAGGTCGGGTACCTTCTGCGCGATTCGATCGCTTTATTTACAAGGAGTCGGCTTGCACTCAGCACGCTACACCTTTAGACCGAGAGGCCGATATCTGAAAGACTTAACGATAATTTACAATACAAGTGCACGCGCTTATACCTATTTTTATAGAGGCATTGAAATTGATTAGATCACTTTACTCCGCGCGCATTAGAAAATGATTAAAATGATGCGGCTATACGCGGATTATTATCGACATATCGATCGCTATTGATATATTGTAAAACCATAAGTTATAAATCGAATTCTCAGGCACAATCGAGCTTATCTTAACCAAAATAAAGTATTTCAATGTGCAGTCACGGCTGTTCGTTATCGCTGAACGGCGCCACGGTGAAAAAGGAGATAAAAAGAGACTCGTTAGATCGAGATCGTTAGATCAGGCGATCGTACATCATTTTCGCGCATTGCATTGGCATTGGAATTCAAATGCGCCAGAAACCAGTAGGGTCACGCGGGATTATCCCCTCGCTCGTAAGAACTCGTTCTTGTAAAATATCGACGCTTTCACTTTCACTTTCACAGATTGCCTTATCTTTAATTGAACTCTCCTTCAGATTATCTCAAGTTTGAATAAAACGGATTTTAATTCGGTCGCATGGCGCGAACCGGCCGCATGCGGGTTAAATTGAGCCTCCCGGCGATGCGGGAGTTAATACGATGGTATATATATATATATACGTACCGAGGCAGGTGATCGAGTGGTCCGCGGGTGGTCGTAGAACATTTCGCGCCCATGCCGCCCTCAAAACCTCGAGGGCGCAGGGCGGTCCGCTAACCATCAGCACACCCGGCGACACGTGGCCCTTGTACCTTAACTGCCGGGTCGCATCCACCAGAGCCGCGTTCCACCAGCATTTGGAATTCGCTTCCAAGAAACTCTGCAACATAGCACAAAATATCCTTTTATCGCGTTTCTCAATGACCAAGATTTTAATTTACCAAAATGATGCAAAAGTTACGCAACGAGTGATTACTTTTCAATATTTTGAAATTTTTCAGTTTTAAATTATTTAAAATAATTCACAATATATTCTTCTATTATTCGTTCTTAATATTCCTCATAAACTCCATGTATGTTCGTGAATGAAGATTCACGGCAGAAAGTTATTGCTCGCGAAATCACACGACCGTTATATAATAACTATCGTCCGCCCGCTCATCGTATTTTGCGTTACCAATAAAAAAAAGCCGTTACGCGTCGCGCGATGGAAGCCGACGAGTTGCTCCGTGAAATATAGCCCGGTCGCTAAGTGTTTATCTCTCCGTGGGGCCGTATGGCGTTTCACCCTCGTCGTAACTCGGAGGCGAAACACGCGGTTCTACCCCTATGGACGTTTCCCTAGAACCCCCGCGTATAGTTCCGCGTCGCAGAATGAGCCGTGATAGGGTCGAGAGCCCCGGACAATGCTCATAAACGAACGGCCCCGTAGGATTTTTCTCTCTAGCCCTGTCTCTCCTCCTACCCCTCTCCACCCGGCTAAACCATGAAATTAGTGCGGAGTGCTGGAATCGATCGGCGCGCGAACCCAGGGTGATTTATAACGGCTCTCGTACGAACGAACGGCACGATCAGTCCCCACAATTGTGAAAAGTGCGCGGCTTTCCTATTGCACGAGCACAATGTTGTACACTGGAAAGGAGATCGATCCGCCGTGTATCGCGAAAATTTATTACGTCAGCTTCAATGAATCAATCGATAAAATAATTATTCTCGATGTATTTAAAGTTATTACCTTATTATTACACGTAGTAAATATCTCAGGCTAAATCGTGTAATTTGCTGGATTGCCGGTGTAGGTGGAACAATGTGAGATGATGTCGGGGTATATGCACGCGGACGCGCGATCGTTAGAATTTCTCAGTGGCGTCGATTCGACGCCACTTTGCGAGTCGCTCGAAAGGCAAAACGACGGTACGACGACCGGGACACCCGAGCGAGAGTCCCAATTTAATCCCATGTAAAGAAGAATAACAATGCGCGCCGCGTGCATCAGACGGCATTTTGCATCTAACGGCAAAACGTATAAGAGCGTAGGATCTCGTCTCGGACTTTCACCCATCTGGAAGCCGCGTCGTATACAGCGGAGCGTGTAGAGACGGTTACCCACTACCAAATGACGGAACCTCCGTGCAGCCGCTGCAAATTACACATCCGTGATCGATCTGGATCCGCCGTCGAGAACGGACGGCCAGCCTCGTTTTGTGCCTGTGCAACGGAGCACGGCACAAAACGTTCACCCTTGCCAAGGCTGCGTTCCGTATTTCGCAGAGTGTAACGTATAGTTCCGTCGTCCATTCGCGGAATCGTCGTTCTCCCGCGTATACACAGTCGAGACCTTTCACGAAATTTTTACGACCCGCAATAATCGTCCCGTCGGTGTACCGTACGTTTTTTTTTCTCTCCTTAATTCGACATTTCGTAACGGGCGCGCTCCGTGATTTTTACATTTAATCGCAAAGATACTCTCGTCTCGAGGCGACACGCCTCCCTCTGAATCACTTCGCCGCGTAATGACGTTACTTAACGTCATGCACGAAACGAAGCGCATTTTCGATCGCAATCGGATTCTTTTATCCCGAGGTATTATTATTACAATCTCTCCGCGGCGCGCGGAGGTGCACCGACAGCCGTCAACTTTCGTAATCGCGCGACGCGGTTACGACATCGGCACGGATTTTCGACACTCCAAGGCGAGGATGATATTGTAATAAAGGCGGAGCGCGCGCTCTCTCGCGTGCATGGGGGGACCCCCCCTCGGGTTTATTAAATCGCCCGCGAGGCGCAGACGGCAGATTTTCAGCAGGTGAAACTTTTCGGTTACGTCAAAAAGAGCTGTGCTTCCTCGAGACTTCTCGGCGCGCTGCACGGCAGCAGCTCCCCACGTGGCAGTTGCCTCACGGTAGTGTGTGCTCGGATCGACCGAGCGGACACGATCGATTTCACGAGATCGTGCCTTCCACCGATCTCTTTCTCCCGATCGGCGATCGGGACACCTTCAGCTACAATCGAATTACTCTTAACGCTTCGTTTTTTCCGCCCGGTTGAACACGATAAACGGAGAAAAGCGCCACTTTCGCAATTTTAAGGAAATTTCGTCCGTCTCCTTCAGCCGTCCCTTTCGTAATCTTGGTTAGGCTTTTACGAAAACATCCTGGAACGTTTAATCATGCTCTAACTGCGCTCCGACGATCAAATCATACCCGGCTTACTCCGTTATTCACGCCATATACGACGTATGAAAATTATAATTTGCAAGATCTCTTGCATATATATATCGCGTACGTGCATATTTAGATCTGTTATTTTTATTTTAATTTGTAAACGTTATACTTTTTTTAATATACGCGCGGTATACAAGCGCCTGAAGCGCTTGGCAAAAAAGTTGCGTAAGGCGTGTAAAAATATCGCGTTGCATCGCGAATTGTACCGGGGTGGGCAACAGGATATGCTGATAAAGTAGACACACTCTTATTGTCCATGGGAGGATCTAACCGTGAGAGTGCGACAGTTCTGAGTTAACCATAATTAGCGCTGAACCAGCTACCATGTCTCCTGTATCCAGCCCAGCGGTACGCCAACTAACTGTGCGAAAAAGAGGGCTTTTGATACGCGGGGATCGCTAAACGCAAATTGGCGTTACCGTATTGCGACGTACGTTACATGTCCCGCGAGGTGTAACACAATCCCTCGCCGCGCGGGAGTAACGTTCTATACGTATTCTCGCTTGATCTGCAGAAAATGACGAGCGTCGCAAACGAACGTCCGTTATTAGATCGAAGTTGTATAGCTGTAGTAACGTATTGAATGAATCGAATGCCATCCCTCGACGAGACCCCTACGATTATCTTGTATTTATTCTCGAGATCTTGTATACATTCTGGCCCCCTAACTGCCCAAAAAGATTATAAGCTATAGATATCGAGGGGAATAGCGAGATGTAGAACGACACTGGGACGAGGGTGAGGCATTTGGGAAATATAGGATAACGATGAAGAAGAGATAGCGTGGAATTGGAAATCAGATTGGAAATCGTGATACTCTTCCTTCAATCGTACATTTTCTTTTTACCCTTGAAAAAGTGGAAATTGACAATCTTAGTTTTTTTCTAGTTCCATTATATATATTTAACGCCATCCGATATCCGAGATGTTAAAACAAAATAAGCATACGTTGACGTTTTATGAAAGAGCGAGAAAAATTAATCGCGGGGAATTACAAAAGTGTAGAACGAGCCTATTGTTCGCGGCGGCAGCGCGCATAACATATACGTACTGCGATTTCCGTGCCGGCAATGAACTTGCGGCAATACGGTCTATAGGGTGTTGTACGGTCGTTGGCTGCCCGTTAATTATTATGCAATATACTCGCCGTGCACTCTCCCGCCGCGCGCAACGTATATGGTTATCCTTTTAAAGCTCTAACCTGAGACTCCGCGCGCACGAACGTGAGCGGTTAACGGAGTCGAACGAAATATACCAGAAACTTATTGCCAGCGCCGCGATTCGCACTGCAGCATTATTGCGCCGCGCCGAGCTTATCGATCTATCAAAACCTTACTAGTGTGTCGCATGTTATAATAAAGTTAAATATTAATCCATTAAATGTTTATTTGACGACCAAAGCTATTATATATGTATGTATTTTATTTGTATTGTGAAGCAATTGATGTGTATGGCGAAGAAAATAATCGCGATGAGCGCAAATTTGTTTTTTTTTTTACAAGACTCCACATATTATTGCCGAAGAAAAATCATACAAGACACTTAGTCCCTGAAGGTCGTTTCGTTATTGCAAAATTGATCTATTTATCAGGCATTACCGCATGACAGACATCAAGGCGTTCGCTCGTGCCCGTCGTCTCGAATTTTAATCAGTAACCCCCTATAGTCCCGCGTGGGTACGCGGGCTGCAAGCATAAATCACGATAACATAATTTATATGCTAATATCGCGAGTGCAGCGTGTGCTCGAATAGTACGCTGGGCGAGAGACACGCGGTGATCTCTTTCTCTCTAACTGGGTATATAGTTATGTATCCAGATATCGACCATAGGCGTCGACCACCGCATTATTTGTCATGTCCACAAAGGATCAATGAAGACTCTCCACAGAAAAAAAACCATGCATAATCGACTACTTTCTGAAATTTTTCTTCTAACTGAACTAAATATAAGTTACGTGTCTCATAAATTTATATCGTATATTATAAAACGGAAAAATTTATCGAAGCATTGGCTTGAGCGCATCTTCTAATTATAATAGTAATTGCAATCACATTCTAATGAATTAATAGTTTCATATCTCGATTTACACGAAAAGCTCATCGCTCGAGCAAAGCTAAAATTTATGCAAGAATAAATTCAAGATCAATAAAAGGACCGCGAGAATTTGATTAGATATGAATAGCATTGGCATCTATATATATATATCGTCAGACAGAAAATAAGCCCCGACATTCCGTGTCATCGTTAATCTAGCACTCGCGTACGAAAGCGCGCGACAAAGAAGAAGGGTAGGCACCGCGGCTGGACGGCAGCACCCCCTCTTTTCCATACATTTTTTTTCAATTAAATCGGCAAACAAATAGACGATCGCGCGCGAATTGCTTCGAGGCGAATGGGCATCCCGCGGATAAACGAGTTCTCGAGGCGCGGGAGATAAAAGTCGAGCTGGCTCGCGATATAACGCTGCGTGGCGCTGATTTACGAAGTCTGCAATGGATGGAGGACGACGACGACGACGACAACGGCTACGACCGATTCCGCTTTCAACGGCGCGCCGGCCGCCGCCCGGCCGGGAAAAACGTCGATGAACGGAGAGAGAACCCCAGAGCGAGGTGGCTGAACCTTGGGCCGAACCCTCGCCGGCCCAACACCAAGTCCGACCCGCTCGAACGATATAATACGCGCTCGACTTTATTGTTCTGTTCGTAAGTGCCGCGCACTAGTTACGTTCTGGGTGCCGTTGCTCGGTCCCGAGTCTAGAGCGACTATTATGCTCCGACGATGAATCGTAACCAAGTATAAGTCCCGTCTTCTTTTTAAATTTGAATCTGAAACGAGACGAGGCTGTAATAAAAAAAAATGACATTTTTTAAATATAGCTCTTTCGTTAAAATAACTTACTGCAATATATATTCAAGTCGAAAGTTATACGCCGCGGTCAAAAGACGTATAAATTTTATCACGCACGAGAGCTCTTACATTCTGACAGTGATTGATTGTGAATATTTTTGTGATCGAATAAGATGAGATGTAAACAAGCGAATGTAACAAACCGACATGCACACGCAAACTGTGGTTACAGCCGCGGCCGAGTAGCTCGACGTAAACTACTCGCTGCTTTTTGTCGTCTCGACGCGGCGACGTGCTCGTGGCGGAAATCGCCACGCAGACGCGGATGGAAAGTGTCCGCCGGATCGTTGGCTGCGCCGACCATCCCCGAGGCAATGCGCGATCGGTGTATCGTAATAACAGTGATTTAAAAACGTCACAACGAGCGGCGACGGTCGGCAATGCACTCGCGAGAGCCGTCGAGGAAGCGTAAAGTACCTTTTCTCGAATGCAGACTGTGCACCTGAAAGGCCCCGATAAATCTTGTAAACAACTTTGCGGATCAAAAGCCGTATCGAACAATGCCCTATTATTTAGTAACCTGAGATTACTATGGTAATAGATCCGTATTGCCGTTCGTTCATCATTGTCGCTTTTCTACCGTAAGAAAAGTCAAATTAAAAAATCTTTAGTCGCCGAATAAAATCCGTTCTTGCTGTCATATAATTTAATTAATTTATATATGTATATATATTAATTATATATATTATAATGATATTTAACTCGTTTATTAATATAATAATTAATATAATTAATGTAACACAAAAAACACACGTGTATATATAAATTGTTTTATTTTCATGTATCTTGTTTCGTGTTAATTGGTTGTTAGTATTAATCGTTTGATAGGAAGTCGACGCAGAATTTCATTTAACGTTCTTTGGATAAAATTAATCGATGGAACACAATGTTCTGAATAACGACCATCGTATCGCGATATCGATGCGATCCACGCTGCGCGCCGCACGGCGATGCTTTTGACGATCGTTCCGTTGAAAAGCGATCGTATCTTCGCCGATCGATTATTATCCGTAGACATCGATGAAACGGTCAGTATATAGCGCGAAACCACGCGGAACCACAATATCGATAGAACATACATAGAACGGTTTCTGCAGTAACGTCTAATTGCCGTAACAATTATAGAACGTCGATCTAATTCACTCGGCGACCTCGAGATTATATCTTCTCTCGTATACGAACAACGCTCAACGCGATTTCCTGCTTTTATATACGAGCCATTCCAACTTCCATTCGCGCGTTATTATTTCGCGTTCGATTTATTCCACATAGTAGAGTTATTGTTAACGAAGATATTGGAATATTCTCTCTTAATTTTCGATCAACTTACAAAAAATTTTTTCGCCCCTTTAAATAAACTACTTTACTATGCGGAACATTAAAAATTCCCATTTACGGATGCTTCGAGAGTAGGCCATTCCTAAGAGTCCGAAAGAATGCTGTTCTTGCATATTTCCACGGTTCAGCACCTTCGCTTTGTCACCGTTATCGACGTTCCTTATTATTAACTCGGGAAACGAGAGCCTCGCTCGTTGACTTTTCCGCAAGGGTGCTTCTCCGCCGAGTACGTGCTCGTTGAAAAGTGAGAGCACTTCGTTATTGCGAACAGTCACGCTCCAGCTTTATTTTGTCACGAATAATCTTTATCCATTTTGTGATTATGCTCGAAAACATATGAAGAAGGTGTATTAATTTTTCGGCCGAATTATATCTTCTGAACAATTTGTAACAATTACTACTTACACATTTATTATGTACTTATTATTTCAACTGATTATTTTAATTCATTACATATTTATTTATTACTTATTTATTGTAGCGATCGTGGCTTAAAGAGTTGTGCGTCGTAGTCTCCATGTCGAGAATCCGGGTTCAAATCCGACCGTATCAATAACAAAACAAAAACATCTGATTTTATTTTGATCGCCACCTCTCGGAAAAGGTAATAGCAAATTACCGAGAGTATCTTGCCCTGTGCGCACCATCCAAGCAAAATCAATTGATCCCCCTATCAACCCGCACTGGCCAAGATGATAGGGAAAATGACTAAAATCTTCTATCCGAGATAGGTTAAGAGATAGGTTAAATAAAAAATTATATAATGTACATATTAATAATTTAATAATAATAATAAACAATAACATCTACTCACGTAGCATAGCAACGCTTTCGAGTACCTGGTAAGTGTATTTAGAATTACCTTCCTTTAATATGCTTTCTGAGTGCTTTATGCACTTAAAAGCGCTGCTGTGCTACGTTGGTAGTTTTTTCACGAAAAAGATGGATGTAGCTGTTTTTTGTATTAATATTAAATTATTAATACGTATATTATAGACATTATATAATTTTATTAATTTTTTATTTTTACCTCACGTGCCGAGTAATTCATAACATCGCGTATTACCGATGCACTTCCCTCTCGTGATTGGCTATATCGGCACGAGCATTAATACGCGATTTTCCCGACCAGACAGTAGACCGCTGTTGAATATTCAATGGTTGCATGTTACGCATTGGTGGCGATAAATTCGAGACGAGCTGCGATTACGACGCGCACGGCGCCGCCGTCCGACGGCGGCGCGCGTCTCTCGGTTCGCCGTCGTTTATTTCATCCGTGGAAGGAATTCTGGACGTAAAACGCGAAATTTATTGTCGAAGGGCCGGATGACGTCGGCGCAACGCCGCGCCGGCCGCGAGAACGAGCTTCCGCCGTTTAACCTGCCGCTCCTCGATTATGCTGACTTTTGCGAAATTGCTCGTAATTCACATTGTCTCATTGTGGCGTAACGGTGCGGGCAATCAACGTTCGCTTTACCGTAAAGGACCCGCGCGTCGCGCAAGAATAGGGAACAAAGCAGAAGACATGAAGAGTCGGCGGAGAGCCCCGCGGTCGCAACGTCATTCCGACGTTCTCGCTTCCGTTGAACTTTTCCGGCGCCAAAACGAGGAAAAAAAACTTGTGAGACAAAAAGGACGCACGATGCTGTTTGCCGAGAAACCAAAAGCGCGTATATTGTCGACGAAAAGTCGCCGGCTGACGCGATAAAAAGGTACATATCTACCGATGGCGTAAACAAGAGTCGACATAAACAAAGATAAGCGGCTCACCTGAAACAGATTATAGCCCTTATCGTACATCCACATCTCGTCGGCCGGATGTTCCTTCGGACTTTCCCGTTGACCGGCGCTTGCGACGTGAGGAGGCGCTCCTCGAATCAGCTGAATCGCCAGGGACCTCTGCAGAAGCAAGAGGCATCGGGAGGGCCCGGGGCCTCCAGGGCCCGTTCCGTCTCCTAAGATCGAGGCCATCGCGAGGGCCCTAACGATGTCGACGATAGGGCGGTGGCATCACGAAATCTGCAACAAGAGAAAAAATATATATTCAGCAATTTGACCTGGGGTGACTGTTTGAATAAGTTAGATCGGTTAGATCGTCGAAATTGATCTCTGTAAATAATAAATATTGTAATAAACAATATATATTTCTAATTAATTCTCAGTCTCAGAGCAGAGGACTACTCGACAATTTTTCTGATTCATTATATGAATATAATGATTCGAAAAAAGTGAAAAATTGATCATTAAGTTAATTGAAAAATACAAAAAGGCGAGAGGCAGTACACTTTATTTTGTAAGGTTACATAAAAAGGCGCCCGGACGATTTTATAGTTACGTAACCGAAAACTGTAGACACGCTTGATAGCGGAGGACTGCGAATGACCTGCAATTTTACGCAACGGAGACCCCCGTCTCTCATCTGCCGTGCTGTCTTACGTCCAATTATTCTTATCGTCGTACCATGGAGAGAGAGATAAAGCGACGGCGAGTTCATCGCACTATTATACGAGTTCACGAAAGTTACAGACGACGTGAGAGACTGCGCGAAATCTCCTCTACACATGCTGCGTGCGTGTCCGCGTGACGCGTACAGCCGCTTTATTGAATGTGCGTTGCAGGCGAACCACGCTCGCAGGATACACACAAAGAGTCTAAGAGTTCAGTGGTTCTCGACTCTCATCGCAAATTTACATTCGGTCGAAATTTGACGAAATGCGAATCACATATCTTATCGAAAGTTCACAATACTAATATCAATCTCTATTCAATGTACAAAAATGTTTTTAAAATAATTTAATTAATATCTCGTATACCGTCACTATATTGCATTATGTGCATTGTTGTATTTATTGACTTCTATTTTATCTAGAAAAATAAAATGTAGGCTATATTTTTCTAAAAATTTTCGCATTTGGTGATACGTGCAAATAGTTGAGAAATCCTGCGACCGTCGTTCTTCATTCTCTAAAGGCCAGAAAGCAACGTCACGTATTCCTATATTGTATCAACACTTCCCACCTCGGGCGCCTAATTTAGCTCGGCCGCCCATAGCTAAGCCGAAGGGTGAAACACCCTCACTGCGAAAATCTACGTGGCTCGTGAGACGACGAAACGCCGGGTAATAAGAAAAAGGGATGGGATCGTCATCGCCCTTGCGCACTGTCGCAGCTCTTTCTCTCTGGAGCCGAGCCAGAGTGGCGCAAGATAGCTTCATCGATTTGACGGTCCGTGTACGTGAATTCGATCTGACCTTAATTGCCAGACGGCCCCGAGTGGCCAAATGTACCGCAGTGCATCCGGATAAGGAAGAGAATTGTGGCAGATGAGCCTTGGCTTACGAGTCGAATGTGGAGTGTTGAAAACAACACACACAAAACTATCTTCGAGACTGAATAATCTAATTTTTTTCTTTTTTTTTTTTTTAGAAAAGTTCTAAAACTGTATACAATTATCATGTGCTATTACGTAAATTATTAATGATCGTGTATAAAATTAAATAGGATCAGATTGAAATTAGTACACTTAATCAGATACAAAAAGATGCTGCAGACATTTTGAGATTTATTTAACAGACTGATACTGTCTTGCGTCCTATTTATCCGTTTTCCGATAGCGATGAACGCCGAATCGTTTTATTGGGAAGTCCTACATAGTTAATAGTAGCTAAAGTTCACTTCCTGACATCGATAGATGTTTGATAACGCAGATAAGATAGTTTGTGATGCGTGACGAGCGTACGGGACACGGTACCGGTGTACCGCAACTATCGCATTATTTTTTAATCTGAAGATAATTGGATAGTTAGTGGATACACGGTCTTCTGTAATAGACGACATTGAATAATTCCCGACGAAATGGCGACCTCTCCCACGCGATCGCGACGCGCTGATGATATCCCGCGGGGATCTATATATCGAGGAAAAAAAAAAAAGAAAGATTCGCGCGGATAGGAAGGAGAATAAGATTTAATAGCGTCTAATCTTTCTCGCGTTGTTGTTCGTTCGCGTAGGCCTGTCGTGCCATCCGCTCTTCGGGCGCGCGGCTGTCTAGCGCACTTTTATCCGCGTCGTATCTCGCGAGTATCTCATTCTCACCGATACAATGGGGCAATTTTCGCAACGTACGTATGTTGGCAAATAGTTTATCCTATCTGCTTATCTGGAGAAGGTAGTACAGACGATCAGGAGATCCCGATGCAAAAGAAATTATTCCAAAACGAAACGGAATTCGAGAGTGAGAAGGAAAAAAGAATCCTTTTCGCGCGCGAGCGTCTCGCGAGTCATCAGGCCTTCTGCGGCGTGCCGCCGCGCCGGATCGAAGCTCGATTTCACCTTGTACCAGTTCGTCGGGCGGAAGGTGTTCGGCCGTGCCGCGCGCGTCGCGGAAAAAGGACTTCCTGCCGCATGACTCATTCGCCGCGCGCGTCGTGTCGTCGGATCGGGCAACAGTCTCTCATTAATGTCTCGCCAATTGTGGCTGCGCATCGCGACGCACCCGCTCGCCGCGTCGTGTCGTGCCGATGCACGCCGTTGCATCCCTGAACCTGAACCCCGGCCCGGCCGCCAATCGGATCGCGTGGGACCGACGCGGCGCCTGACGACATTAATTAACGCTCCCCGCACGTTTAATTTTCCCGTCCACGCTTTTCCTGCGCTGAAGCTTCTATACCGCGCTGAAAAGCGGAATGTCTCTCTTCGATTCCTCATAGCGCGCGAGTCACGAGCGACCTGGATTCCCCGATCTCGTCTATTATAATCGTAATTACAGTAATCGCGGCTGTCGATCGATCCGCCGGCCGTGCAAGAACGGCGACGAGGCGGCGACGACGTCTCGTCGGAAATAGGAAGAATGCGATTCGCATTAACGCGGCTATTCTCCTCGCGGTCGATCCTCACGGGCGAGTCTCGAATCCCCTCCTCCCGTCCGCGATCGCTCGTAGAGACAAGGATAATTTCCCGCGAGAGGATTACAACGCGTTTACCAGAAACGTACAAATCGCCACGCGGCGAAACGACGGTTACCGTAACTTAATTACGCGCAGCTCCGTAAGTTGCAAGTGGGATTACACGCGTGCAGTTAAGTCGAACGATGTAACTGCGCAGATACGATTTGAAATGTTGAAGATAATGCATTCCGATCTCGCCCCATTTTATCGTTCACCTTTCCTAGCCTGGAATGCTACGTTCATAGCCCTCACGGAGGTATATGTTCATCGCCTTATAAATATATATTTTTTAAACGCCTTACATATACATCGAAACGAGTTCCGCGCCGCTTTTATTATCTTGCGCCTCTTGCTAAAATAGCCGCGTCATTAATTTCCTGGCTAGACGACTTGTCCGACAATTTGTCGAAGCGCAAAATTCCTCCTCGATAAATCTCTCCGACGTCTTTCTCCAAAATTTTTTTACACTTCACTCTTTTTTTTCTCTCTCTTCCTCTTCCTCGTCGTTACGATACTCCACTTCTCGAAGAATACGCGCTAGGCTCCCCCGCCGCCGCGTCGTAAAGAGTTTGTTAAGAAAACAAACTTTCATATTCGAAGAGCAAATTCATTCCTCGCGTGACACCGTATCGCGCCCGCAGCTCGCTCGAGTCGATCCTTTGATGTATCGTCGACCTTCTCGTCGGCGAAGACCAGCCGCCGGACCCCGGGAGTCGAGTGTCTAGAAAGTACTTCTTCGCGCGCGGACCATTCTCGTAAAACGTGTAACGGGAACGATCAAACAACGTCTCGGCCTAATGGAAGTCCAAATAAAGACAAATCTACGTCCAGGCCGTCGTTGATCTCGCTCGTTGGGTGACGGCCATTGAGATCGTAAACGAGAAACGAACGAGGATTATCAATGACTACATCGACTCGCCGCGCGGGAGCCCCAAAGTATGATGAATTCTTACGTCAGTCTGTCGATGAGAACATAAATAGAAAGTCCAGAGACCGGCTGTCATCTCCGCGCTCGACGCACCGTTGGGGAAACTACGTACACGTATAGTAGACCATTAACGTCTAAGAGTTTCTTTTTAATTAACTGACAAAGAGCGTTATCAATATTAATATTTCCAAGTACGGGAGCAATTATTATGAGAGAGAGAAAACGGGAGTGAATTATCCTAGCGAAAAGAAGCGGAGATTCATCAAGCTATAAACCGACTGCGCCTTTCGGGTGATTCGGAGAAAAAAAAAGTTGCGTGACTCTCGCTTCACGCGACCGACATAGCTCGACGTAATAGGATATATCAAGAAACTCCAAGACGCAAAATTACCACACACGCCAGGTTTCCATTTAAGAATCACATAATTGTATCCTCCGGACTCTCCGGAGCTTAATTAGCGTTGCGCGGGGAGTTCTATCGGGAGACCTGTCGCATTAGCGCTTATATGCGCTGGATTATTGCATACCGAGCGGCCGTTGGTACGCACATCCGAATGCGCGCATCTGTTTTGCAATTCGGTTTAAGCCGATCCCAAGTACGAGAGGAGAGGAAAGTATACAAGACAAATAATTAATAGATAAATAATTAATAATAAATTAACAATAATATAATGATTTAAATGCAATATTCAATAATGATATTGTACATTTCGAATGAGAGTTTAAATTGTAAAACAGAAGTAGCATTAACACAATGAAATTATATCTAATAATTTCAACATAATTTAATTATAACAAGCATTCAAGTTGATTGGATTTACGTATGTAATTGTTAATTTAATCTTTACGAACGCAAAACTATGGAGAAAGAGAGGGAAACAGACGTCTAGTTTCCTCGTGGCATATATTATACGATACCTACTGAGGAGGTCAAGCGTTGAGAGTATATTCCAAGGTACCCAGCGGCGTATCCCGGAAACCCGGTTCTCACGCCTCCACCTCCGGGAGACGTCGCGGCGAGACGTGGAAAAAGCGACGCGAGAATGCACGCTATACGTGCGCCGTGAAAAAATCGCGAGGGGGATACCCAGTCGCGAATGTGTATATTATATATACATATACAGCCGCGGTCGTCGTTTCACGTTT